CTATCCCCCACTGGGGCCGGGGTGACTGCCTTGAGGGAGGCAGTCCCCCAATCCAAAGGCCCCGGAGGTGTGCGCGTGTACCCACACGCCTCCACAATGGAGTAGGGCGAAATAGGTCGCCCTAACCACAAAACGAGATGGGCCTGCCCTACAACATCTACAGGGCGGGCCGTCGCCGTCGGAGCTGGGGTAGAATGCACTTGCGAATCCCCTGGCTCCGGCATAGGCGCTCGTAGGTACACCGTGTGGTTTTTTAGTGGGTACAAGTCCCACACACCACCTCGCCATCCCTCCGGCGGGGTGACGGTCTTTTGAAGATTTTTCCACACGTTAAAAAAAAAAAAAAAAAAAAAAAAAAAGGGCGCACGTAGGAACACCTGGAAATGAGAGGGCCGACGAGCTGGCCAAGGAGGCAGCATTATCAAAACGCGGAAAGGAACCAGACTACAGCAGAGTCCCCCTATCCTCCATTAAAGGAACAATCAGAGAAGAATCCCTGGACATTTGGCAAGGCAGATACTCGGCCTCAGATACGGGAAGTAAGACAAGGGTCTTCTTCCCATCCGTACGAACAGCGTACGCCTTAGTGAGGAAGCTAAAACCTACCTACTACCAGACTCAAATGCTGACAGGACACGGGGGAATGGGGGAATACCTGCATAGGTTCCGTTTAAGGAGCAGCTCGGAGTGTGAATGTGACCCCAATAAAACCGAATCGGTCTGGCACCTCCTCTTCGAATGCCCGCACTTCGGAGCTGCCCGGCAGGACTTAGAAGCGAAGATCAAACTGCGGCTGTCTGCAGAAAATCTGAGACTCATCATGGAGAACGGCGAGCACGGAAGACACCTTATGGACTTTATGGAGGTGGTGGCAGAATCAGCTGCAAAGGTAAACAGCAGACCGCAGGAACTGGTGGGGCCGCGTGACTCATCGAGAGAAGGTGAACGGAGCTCTCCCTATGACTCGTTTCTGAATGCCAAAATAATCGAAACCATCCCTCCACAAGAACTTCTAAAAATAGGATGCATAGGTATTCCATCTATAGTAGAAAAGCAAGCGTCACAGTATATGAGGGATCTGAGAGAGAGGCTAGGTTTTGGCTTCAGCAACGAAGGGAACTCAAGATCGGTTATCCTGTCCGCGGGACTATCGCAATTGCTGTATGGAGCGACTACCAGAACAGCAATGGGAAGAAAAAAATACGAAGAACTGGCAGCAGTCCAAATATGTGAATACAATGCAAAGTGGCACGCACCCAGAACAAAATGATCATAATATTAAATAATGAGAATGGACGAGCATCCAAAAACCTCATGACAGTTCTGGAAGCATTAAAAACAAACGAAAATACTACTTCAAAAATTATAAGATAGGATGGAAGTTGGTAGTGACGGAGCTGAAACTGAGGATAGGGTAGGTTGCAGGATGGTCCTGGTAAGACACGAAGTAGTAAATTACATCTTATAGTTGCCATGTATATATTCACTCACACCTGAAAACAGTATAATTTAGTATTTATTTTAATTATAATTGTAAATTAATTTAACATTTATTTTTAATTGTAATTTAATTTATTATATGACTATTTTATTATTTTATTGTTAAATTTGATTAGTTAGTCAATTCCACTTGACTTAGTTTTGGTAAAATTGTATTATTATTTTATTTTATATTACATTTTATATTATATTGACATCCATAAAATTGTTATATGGGGCCTGCCCAAAATAGATTTACTTAAATAAATCAATTTAAGTCAAACAAAAATGTAAAATTTAACTTAATAAAAGCACGGACTTTGTGTCTGTGATTAATAATAATAAAATCATAAAAAAAAAAGTTCAATTATCTTTTTTTTAGCTTTTACTCTTCGGTTGCGATATATATTTACATCAAGCCATCGGATTGTGGTCTGTGTATCGGTACCATAAAGAGAAATTTCTAAAAGTGTATCACTTGCTTCTAGTGCTCCACATTCTCTGTTATTGAGTGCTCGGAGGCCTACGTTAAAAAGTCTACTAGCGAGAGACTTGGTAGAATTTATGTTGTCAAAAGTGTCTACTGCGTGACTTTTTTCACTTTTAGTATATTTGGTAATATAATAATTTAGTACAGCTGTTTTTTCGCCTACATACTGTAAATCCATGTTGCCTTTCCAAGCGAAAAGGATTACTGGATTATAGTCGTTAATGTAACAAGATTCTTTTTCGCGAGGTATGTTATAAAGTCTACTCATTTTTTAAGTTTTTCTAGCCGCTATTGACTCGTTACACTATTAATCGTTAGATATTCAGTTACTGGTCATGGAAATCCAAACCTGCAAACCGTTGTAAAGCTTGTTTTTGTTTTTTTCTTTCGTAAACAATATGTGTTATGTTTATGCATCTGATAATTGATAACACGATCATGTAATGTTGGGGATACATTTTTATCTGGGATAGAACATATAACGTATTTATTAATAAACTCTGCCACCTCCTCAACAGTCGAAACTTGCAGTATTGGTGCATCTTTTACCCACAACATTAGATGGAAATGCTGTAAACCCCTAGACTGGTATTCACGTCGCCAGAAATAATGTTCTATTTCACCTAAAGGAGCCTTAGGTGATGTTAAAAAATCCAATATTGATTTAAAATTAATGTCAATAAACCGCGACGCTGAAACTGGATCCATTGCTACTAACTCACTAGTAGATTTATTTCTTGCATCAGGACCATTGATTAGTTTAATATAATCTGCGAGGTCCGTCCATCTCCATTCAGAAGGACTGATTGTTAAAAACCAAGTAGCCGGTCCGTAATGACGAGTCATACACATAACATCGCTTCTAGGTTTTTTCCAGAATTGCTCGATGTTTCGTAATCTACTAAATATGGCCATCAAATCTCCTTCGAGCTCGCTTTTCTCTATCTTTTCTAAATACTGTTGCGCTGTTAATTTTTGGTTTAGATTAGTTACATTTAATTTATAAAATATACCTGCATTTAATTGTCTTATATTTGCGTCATTCAATAAGTAAAATAAGTATTGTTGCTGGTTAAGTCTGAATCGCGAGTCTTTGGAAGTTAAGCGATATTTTATGAATTCTGCCCTTGTAATTTTTTTCGTGATCATAAAATTGACCAAACTCGCCCTTATTAAATAAATCTGGAAAACATAAAGTATCAATATCCTTATTATGTTTATCGCTTGGTGCAGCATTCATTTTCAACATTTGATATAGAGCGCAAGCTGTACTATTTTATTTCTTTTCGTGTAGCGGGTATATTGTATACTGTTCGTAAATATCTTCCTTATCTTCGGTTACCTGAGTGAGAAAGGCAGACTGATTTTGTAACTCCTTTTCGTTCTCATTTAGCTCTATGGTATGGTTTAAATTTTGGTCAAGGTTGTCTAATAAATTATTTGAATTCGCCGGTAAAATTATGTTTCTGTAATGAAAGTTATTCTGTTTTAAATATACTAATGCCCTGTATATATTGCCGATATCCACTAAGTCTTGCCACATTATTTTAGTTTTAGTCGGACAGCTTCGCACGATTATATAAAACTCTTGATTGGGGTTTAAAGATTCTTCGGGTTTAGGCAATTTATTTAAGGTATTTTCTATAGGTAATGGCAAATGAAATGTCCTCCCTTTAACTTTTTTATCATCTGTCTGTTAGGAATATTTTTATACTTTTCAAGTAGTAACTAGCTTGATTCCAGTGGGAAGTGATTCCAGCTTTAGTTCTTTGTATCAATATTTTTTCATAGTTATTAAGATCACTTAATTGCTTAGGTACGTCACCGTAATATAAACTATAAGTATAGAATTAGGAGGTAAATCATTTGTTCGGATTTTTTGTAGGCATAAATAACAGATAAACGGACTGGGCTCGATATGAAATGTTTCATTGAAAAGTTGTAACCTTTGCCATATGTCAGTTTCGATAGGATTTCTTAGTTCATTAATAGCGGAGTCACGTAAACAAAGAAGTCTGTGGCAAGATATGCAAAGGTGTATCGGTATATCATCACATCTTTTTGTCAATGTATTAAAAGCGCATTTATATTTTTCTATTATTAAGTCTTCGTTCATTTCGCTCTCACGCATAGTTAATTCACAATAAGCATTTTTAATATCAAAAGGTACTCCTAATGCACATAATTTATCTACATTGACAGAGTTCAAATCACAATCTATTGAATTTATATTTTTGCAATAACATATTAACTGATAGTGTTCTCTAACAATAGTTCGTATTTTAGGGAAATGGGTTTTTATGTTATAAAGTATTTTAATTTTGTTTAAAAATTCTTGTCTCTGATTAGATATTAAGTTGAATATATCTATGGCTTACTTTGAATTTGTATATTTGAAAGCATCCAATAAACTTTGTAGAATTGATTCATCTAATGAACATTGTTTGGGATTACAAGACCAAGATACATTATTATTTTCATTCTGTAAATTAAATATCTCAGCTTGACCCTCATCGTTTATTGACACAGTTTCATCCGAACAAAACATTTTATACGAACTTTCATAATAGTTCTTGAGTGCTCACATGTTTAGATTCTCCGGCAAAAATAACAAATTTTTCTAATATGTCATTGTCAGAAGAAATACTTTTAATTTTTTCCATACTTATTGTAATTTTACATTGAACGCGATTTAAAATTTTAGAGTAATTATCTAGTATATTTTTACACAGATAACATAATATAATTTTTACGACGCTCAAGAACCCACTTTGCAATGTTTTCAGCTTCTAACTCTTTCTGCTTTCCAATTTTGTTTGTTAGTTTGTTAATTATGTCATTTCCATTAGTATACGATTATTTTTTCTTCGCGTAGTATAACTTCGAAGATCTTTTATCTACAACTGGATTTTTTTTAGTATAACGTTTTGCCGCGGCTTTATGCACCTTTGCGTTTTTATCCAAATAACGTTTTACGGCTGCTTGGTACACCTCGGGGTGTTTGGCTACATAACTCTCTGAGAATTTTGAACTACTTCAGGATGCCCTTGTTTATAACGCCGATTAGCATCACGCCGTTGTTCCGCACGGGATTTCTCTGACGTTCTAGGTCGACCTGGTTTACGCTTTTGTGGACGGCCCCTTTGTAACGAAGAAATACACAAATTATTGATGTCTTGTTCCACTGGAATACACACGTCATAATGACCCGAAGAGAGATTTCCTGTAAAGAGCAAGCGCTTTGTAGGATATCCCTCTTCGCCGAACAAACCTAGCAGAACACCATCCTGATTATACACTTCGATCTTAATATTACGTAAATTTACTGCAGCCTTTAATTCAGAAACAGCTCCATACGTTGTTGAACAAAGCATGCTTGCTCGATACTCTTCTTTAAAGCAGTAGGGATTCCCGTTTGGAGCGCTGGTGTACATACTTAAATCATTCCAGTTACGACATACATACTGTACTGTAGTTTCACGCAACCTATTTGTTTGTTGTATACTACTGTACTATACTCAAACAATAAATATGCAATCGAATGGAATAGGCAGCTTCCATCGGGAGGCATTGGAATAATTCGGTGTAAGGTAAGTGTGTCAACCACCCGTAATTCTATTGTATGACTCATTGTACAATATACGTAATAAAAAGATATTTTTTAAGACGATTATGTAACAAATTACCTGTTGTATTTTCAAGAAAAACAATTTGTTAAAAATGAGTTGTTATTATCGAAGTCATTCGGAGTTAAATGTACATTTCCTACTTCAAACTAATATAACTGTACTAAAATTATTATTACTTTTTGTTTTAAACTATTAAACTATTACCTATATACCATACTTACCTTTTCCAGTTTCGCTATTTGTTGTGTGTATTTGTATTTATTGTTTATTCCAAATAAATCTGTGCTTAGTTTGCCTTAAATTAAATTAATACTATTACATTACTCGTCTTGACCTTTGACCTTTGACCTTTACCTATAACTTGTGTTCGTGTTTAACATCGTAAATTAAAACTACTATTTGCGTATATAAACCTAGTATTTTGTTGAGTAGGTGTTTATTAAGAGGCCTATTACAAAACGATGCCGCTCAACTTTAGGTTTAATCGCATGGATTTACGCACACACACAGTAATACACGCACACAGACGCAAATAACCGTGTAGCGCAATCGTGTGGATTTAGTATGAACCATTTTGATCCTTGTAATATTTTAATTAATAATGTGATATGTTTCTACTTAACTGAGTAACATAAACTACTTATTGGATTTTTTTAAATAACGTGATTTATCTTAATTGTCAAAGTGCTAATAATGACCATATTTTTTTATTATATTATTCCTAGAGGGTTGATGTCAGGATGCTGGCCGATTGTACAACTAAAACCCAAAACCTTAGGTAATATGAGTAACAAATAATTGGGATAAGGACAAGAGGATGAAATTACTATAACATAAATTTACTAATTAATTCTTCTTACATATTAATTCAGTTTATTTATTAATAGATACAATATAATTTTTTATAAGAGTCGGATACATTATTGCCATATTCACTTGTTCTAAATATTATACTTAGCAAATAATTATTTTATTTATATATAATAGTTGTGTTTTCAAGGCTTTGTTTTGATTTAAAGGTCCCATCCTTATATGTATATTAGGTGTATCCGCGACTTCGTCAGCGTGGTATAATGAAATTGACCAAATAAAGGAAATATATTTAGATTATAACCTAAAAAAGTTTCATTGTTTCACTTAAACAATGACGATACTTTTATACAACCTTTCATCTCCGCTTTTAATCCCTTACAATACTTTTTTCGCACTATAAAGTAGTCTATGACCTTTCTCAGGGTATACTATCTGTGTATATGTATATCTATCTATATAGACTACCTGTGTATATATATGGTAGTGAATTTACAGGGTACAGGGGAATAACTTTTTTTTCTCGACTGGCAACATTACCGATAACTGTCTTTGTCAGCTGGCCGTAATAATTAAATACTTTTATATAATTTATTACTCGATTTTTTTAGTGCAATTGATATAATTAGTGAGTTTAAGCTATAAGAAGCATCTATTGTTGTTTGTGTTCATTTTTATATTGTATTTGTGTACAAAAATCGACACAAATATTTCCTACCGGTCAACTGTCAGAGTTGGTAATAAACTTATATTTACATCAATCTTGTATATGTTATCGCGTAATTCAATTTAAATTATTATAACATTCCTTTATTATTACTTGTTTTGTGTTACATGTTAATATTGTGGTAATTTTAAAAGTGAATTCAAGTTGTGCGTCGAGGAAAAAAAAAATTACCCACTAACCAAATATTATTGTAAGTACTAACTGTAAGTTCTTACATATAATAATCTTTAGTATTGTTATTTATATTTAACATATTTACTAACATTACTTACATATTATATATTTATAAATAAATTTTATTGTAAGGAAATAGCACAAGTTTTAAATTCCATTTAATTCCTTTATATTTAAATTTATTACTCAGCATATTTAATAATGATGTCCCGAAGAGCCTGTGATCTTGATGCTAAACTTAAGGTGGCACTCGTTGAATTAAAGAAAACCCAAGACTTGAATAAAGTATTGTTACAGGAACAGGATGATAGTGAAATAGAGATGAAATCTCTATTTGACAAATATGTGGCCCTGAAGGGGGAACTTGTAAACATTAATGTATTCTGTGAAGACCTACGCGTTGACAGGGATAGACTTCAGGAAATTGTTAATGAATATGATCACTGCAGGGACACATATGAGTCAAATCTACAGCGTATCACTCACCTCGAGAGACACCTTGAGGAAGCTCAAGCACATAGTGAATCTATGTTGGAACACAAACGGGTGAGTAGCTATAATAACACCTTAGATCTGTATACAGAATTGTTAAATGTCACTTGTGATCAAAAGTCTACTCAGCCGTTGGTGACCATAGATTTAACAAATACACCCAGCTCAAATAGTTGTACTAGTCAATTTAATATATGTATATTATAAATTAAAAAAATATATAAAAATAAACAAATTTATTAAAAAGTCAGAAAAGTTAGTGAGAACTCATACTAAATGTTTAAAATCTATAAATATTAGAAGACAAAAATTAGACCTGTTACAAGAACTTCAAAATTGTAAAACAAATTTACATGATAAGGATTTAGAACAAAATAAATTAAAGAGTAAAATTCAAGAGTTGGAATCTTTATTATATAATTTAACAAATAAATATGAGTGTGCTCAACATGAAATTAATAACTATAGTAAATCACTGGATAAATTAATAGAGTTGGGTAATTACAACATGGAGCGGTTCACCTCATTGACAGAGAAATGTTGTTGTGAGACACCTGAATCTCCTAAATCTTGTCAATATAGCCCTAATGGAAATAACAATAAGTCAATCACATCAGTCTTGACTGAGTCAATCACTCCTTGTTCAAATTTACTCAATTCTAACTTGTCTTTAAAAACTGATAATTGTAATGTTGCACCAGTACGAAGGACAATTATTTATTCAGATGAATATGGTAAGGGTTTGGGCCGTTCATTATCAGAAAGTTTATCTCAACATGTTATAAATAATTGTCTACCTGGTGCTTCATTGCCTAATATTTTAAATAAGGTGGTTAATGGTAGGTATGATAAGTTAACCACATTAGTCATTGCTTTAGGCAACTGTTTAAATGTAAAAAAAAGTCATGTCATTAAACTTGTAAACTCTTTGCTTAATATTGCTGAGCTGGGCATAGGTAAAATAATTTTATGTGCATTTCCTTACTGTCATTCTCTGACTATTGAACAAAATAAGTTCATATATTATATTAATAATTTAATTTATAATATGACTTGTCGTCATAATGACTTTTTATTTTTTGATAGTAACAAATTTGTTACAAACTTTTGTATGACTGGAGATAGATTTTATCTGCCTAAAAAACAAATAAGAAATATAGCTAGTTTACTAGCTTATAATATAAATGACCCCATTATAAGTAATATAATGGGTTGCACTAATCCAATTAGTAGTATTTGTACTAATGTTAATACTAAACATTCTGAAAATATTGACATAAATATTGATTCTAGTAAGAATCCTTTTATTTACAATAATTTAAATATGACTGCAGATTTAAACTGCTGAAAAAGACAAAGGGAAAGCTATCAGAATTGAAAATTGTTCACCAGAACATACAAAGTTTTCTCGGCTGTGAATTAATTATTCAATTGTTTTTAGAAAAAAATAATATAGATGTTCTATGTTTAACTGAACATTGGCTCAAAGTGAGCAATATGATGTTAAGCTTAAACAATTATAATATTGTCAGCTGCTTTAATAGAAAAATAGTAAATAGAGGAGGTTCCATGATATTGGTGAAAAATAATATAAAAGTAAAAGAACGTAGTGATATTGGCAATCTTTCCGTTGAGTGTTGTATTGAAATTTCCTGTGTGGAACTAGAAAATTATATAGTTATGTGTGTATATAGACCTCCAAATAGTGATTATAATTTATTTGAAGAGGTAATGGAGGATATTTTAAAAAGAGTATTTAATATTAACAAAAAATTTATAGTGTGTGGTGATTTCAATGTTGACATTTTATCACATAACACCACAAAAACTAAATTAATGAGTTTATTTCAATCTTTTGACTTGAGTAATGTCTTCCACGAACCCACTCGTATCACAGCCACGTCTGCTACTTGTTTGGATAACATATTTAGCAACAGTGAATATTTAGATAAAATAATATTAAACAACCTTCCTTCTGATCACTGTGGTCAATTAGTAATTTTTCCAAATCACGTAAACAAAATTAGGAAAATTAATTTATTAAAAAGAGACTTGACTAGTTATAAGATAAATAAATTTAAAATATCAGTTCGTAGTAAATTAGATTTTTGTCCTCAATCTGATGAACCTAACAAACTTTATACAGATTTCTTCAATATTGTTTCTTACGAATATAATAAGGCTTTTAACAAAAAAACTATCAGTATTAGTAACAAAACAAAATTTTCAGAATGGGCTACAAAGGGAATTCTTAAAAGTAGAAATATATTATTTGATTTATATGATCAAAAAAAATACCGTTTCGATAGTACATTCGTAAATTATGTAAAAAGATACTCAAAAACTTTAAAA